ATATTTTGTCTTCTAAGCAAAGTCCACGAGGAGGAAGATTCTTTTGAGATTCTTTTGTATAGTGAATATTAGCGTTCATTCAAAGCTGGAAATGGCTTTTGTGCCGATTTTTTATTAGTGAAACGTTCAGTTCTAAAAAAGTACTTTAAACCATATAAATAAGTTACCTGGGTAATTGATTTACATCAGCCAATCAAATGAATGTTTGACCATGACCTTTAACCCCAAATATCTTGGTACCCACCAAGCCGATTTTAATAATATAACCACCATTAGAACCAGAAAAATCTTCTTTACAACTTTACTTAGAGCTAGAAAAAAGGTTTACTTGTTAGTTTTAGGGTTATGATTAGAATTAAAGAATTATAATATTAAAACTTAGAGTTATAAGTTTATTATATTATTGTAACAATTGTAGAAATAGCAATTATAATTGTGGAAATAGCTTATTTTTTATTATAAAATTTATAAAATTTATAGCTAATTTTAATTGGCCAATAGTAAGCAATTTATTATATATTTGCATGCTCAATTTTATTGGCTATTCTTATAGGGTCGATATAAAATAATACACTTTTTTAAAATTTTTTTTTGTTATACAAAATTAATTTTTTTCACTCTAATTTAATTGGCAAATGTATTACAGTATTATAGGTAATAATTATCTGTAATAAAATTAGAATTATTTTAAAAAATTTTATATTACAAATCACTTGAGCTATAAAAATTTCTTCACTATATTAAGAGATTCACTATATCAAAAGCCTTTTAATATAGTAAAAACAATAATCAAATATACTGTATATTATATATAGCAATATAACAAAAGCTATTAATTTAATTGGTTAATAAAATATTATACGTATAATAAAATCTTCACTATAATATAAGATATTTTGTTATACCGTATAACCACGAAATAGCGCGCAGGGGTGTAATTTCAATTTTCGGCCTAAATTAAGCTTAATTCGGGCCAAATCTCAAAATAACGCCCCTGTGCGTTATTTCGTTATACGGTAAAAATCTTCACTATAACTTATATCGAGAGTTTACTATTTAACTTCATTATATAGTTATTAATAATGATTCTGTTCTAAAAAAATTCTTCACTATAAGCCAATATTCACTATAACAAATAATTTGAAGCTTATACGTAGTTTGAAGAATAATAATTTGTATTATAAATATAACAAATAATAATTCTTTTAAATAAATATATTTAACTTGAAATATCAAAATTATACGTAAAGATTCAACCGTTTTTATTAAATTTAACCTTATTTATTAAGCATAAGAATAATTATACGTATTAAAGATAGCAATTATTATTATAATGCTATTTTGTTTTTTTTGTTTTTTTTTAATGAGGTTCAAAATTTTAATGTATTTTAAAACAAAGTTTGCCCGAATTTTAAATTACTAAAAAAATGAATGTATTGGAAACGCAGATAAATGGGGTGGACATATCTATATATACCTTTCCAATTTTAATGTTCAAAAACAATTTAAACTTAATAATCTGTCTTCGTCAATAAATATAATTTAGCATAAGAAAGGTTATGGTTTGGATAATAAATTGTTATTTATTGTTTATAATTTGTTAACTTCATAATATGCAAATAATTGAGATAAGATGCTTATTATGATTGCAATTATATTCATTTATTACTATGCTACTTAATATTACATATATATCAGGAATAGCGCTCAACGTTTGGTATGCGTTATATTCAAGATTTTTAATAATATTTAGTCTATTTTCCAAAACATCCAAAATGTTCAGCGTTACATCTTAACCGTAAAGAAAAAATTTTAGATCACGAGTAAGAATTAGCCTATAAAGAAATTAGTTGCACATAAGATAAAAATCACTGGAGATTTTACCCGGCAATCACCATTCGAAGTCACATGTAAGTCGACAAAAAATCCGGTCATTGTTTTTTCCGAGCAACGCTAGGGTTGTTAATAATCGGTCTAGATCTTTTTGCTGTTTGTTTCTGGATTGATTTTCGATTTTCACTTGTTGTGGCTAATTTAGATTCATCTTGAATAATTTTAAGCCTATCCGTTAATGCTGCAAGTTTAAATGGTGTTGCAGAACGTGTGATGTTCGGATAAGTCATGTAGAATCGACCAGCTATTTGCGTCAAGTCAAGTGGATACTCAGTTTGTTCTGTGTTCGTCCTAATCAACTTTGTTCCAGGTGCACCATTCGTGGGCATTTTCAAGAACATATCACCCCTCATTTCGAGTTTGTTATGATCATTTATGTACATTGATGTGATTTTAAACACTGGTAATTGCAGCATTTCAGAATCGCTAAGTTTTTCATATGTCAATCTAACATAATCATTCACTTTTAAAACTTCGGCACCAAATATTATGCAACTCAATGCGTGTTCACTTTTAATAACTGGTGTATACATTGAGGCTATTTCATTCGCGTAATTGACTGCTTCGAGAAATTTTGAAGCGAGTAAAGTATCATCAGTTATGTCCTGATTATCAAATTGTTTCGTAAGATCAGCCGGATCAAGTGCAAGCCACGGCATAATCTTGTTTTGGCGGACCTTCAATGTTCCATCCAGTAAGACACGCTTTAAAGTATATAAGACATGAGGTGGTACCACTGTACGCTCAATAACCACAGCTGGCCAAAACTTGATATAACCTGATGTTTCTGTTTCATTAGTTGTCAAAATCTGATCTTTAGTTGCCCAAACCAACTCTCCACGTCGAAACCCCCCATGTTCTTGTGATTTTGTCATTGCTTTACTTGAAGTGATAGGCGTTTGTACACCTGAAGGAGGTTTACCATTGCAGTACTTACAAGCGCATGGTGAAGCCTTATCGGACGCGAGCCACAACAAATGATCAATAAATTCGTTTGGTGAACGGAATTTTAGATTAAAATTGACACCACCACCTATCAATATAAACATAAGCTATGATACTTAAATAAAAAACGCGAAATTAATTATAATAATAATATTCATAAAATTACCAAAAAGGTATGTATCCTTTCTAACTTCACCGGATTCCTTGTGTTGTTTAATATGTTCAAATAGCCCATATCCATCTGGTAATCGTGTTAGAGCACCTAAATAGTAATAAAATTAATTTTGTTAATAAAAAATTTTTTTCGAAAATATAAAATAATAAAAACTTGATTTTAAAATCATACTTACTATTACCAATATGTATGCCAGGATCCTTGCGTAATACTTTAGCTAAAGCCTCCCCAAGTTTTGTTAAATATAATTGCATTTTCTTATCCGAGGATTCTATTATAGGTCGATAATAACTGATATTACCATGACTGTCTACTCGTGGCGTAACATCTGTTGGCCAACGCGACTGTAAACCATCAGAATACGTGACTTCAATTCCCGTTATAGTAACATTAACGTTAATCAAATTCATTTTTTCTTTTTTCGATTAAAAACAAAAAAAAAATGTAAAAAATATTTTTTGAGTGTTTCAAGTGAAAATTGCAATGTAAATAAAATACCAACGCGATCAGATAATATATAGATTTAGTAATTATTTCATCTTATTTAATGATTGTATCATTATGGGTTGTCCAACTACGTAACAGGAAATCGTGGCTCATTATTATGTTCACTGATGAATCATTGGAGATTGCACTATCCCTTTTATGCCGATTGTGTAGACACGTATTTAATAAATAATAAAGACGTAAGATGAAATAAATTTCAATTATTTCTAATGATATAATAATATCAACAGTTCTTTGGTAAATATATATACTACTTACTATATTGGTCGAATAATTATTTGTATTTGCAGCTGTTTACATTAATCTATTGATCACTATATTAATATTACCATAACTACCATAATTCGATCCAAAATTTTGCGCGATTAAACGTTTCAATTCATATAAAAGAGGAACAGGATATTAGAGAAATTCACTTTTATAGAGAAATGATTTCATTTATATATAGAGATTTGTTTGTGGAAATACTGTATTAATGGTATCAATGCGTTAGTATAAAAAAAGATTGTAATACCTTGGGCTCGAGGTTAGAAATTTGCTATTCATTGAGGAAAAAAAAAGCAATCAAGGTTTGTGGTCATTGGATCCAAACCGTCCTTGTTTAGGCAATATGTGTGAAAGCAAAAAGATTAATATTCTATTTATTTAAAATATATTGTACAATATAAAAACAACTTTCGAATAAAAGCTGCCCTCCTGATTTTGGAGTGAAACTGATAGCAAGTAATGTGTTTTACTAATAAAATCAGACCACATTGTAAGCACCCTGAAAAAACAAATTTTTTTTTCAATGTTAAGATGGGCTTTTGTCACTAGGATTTTTTGTCGAACAAATACCGACAAAAGATTTATATTTTAATTATTGAAATCATTTTGATTTTCTTATATGCATTCTTGCTCCTAATGCTTTAAACTATTAATTAACTTTGCTATTAAGTTTTTTCTTTTGTTCTCTAAAATACTAGATAACTCTAACCTTTTGTAACAACCCACACTATAACAAACTTCTAAAAAACTTATTATAGAGTTCTGTGTAGAAACATAGTAAATTATTCTATAAGAAACTTTTAAAAATTTTTTACAATAACTGTCCGTTCGTTATAAAGGGTGTATTATTTTAGAGTGTTAACGGAGACCATTTCTATTTTTATTTGAATTATTCTCAATTATTTAAATGATTTGTTTAACTAAAGGTATAGAATCTTTAATTCAAGATAACTAGTAAAGTATTTTACAAATTTCGGATTGAAATATTGAAATTTTGCTAAGAAAATGACCTACAACCTTATAATCAAGACACGATTTTCATAGTCAAACTTTGTAGAAGATTAAAATGTTAAGAAAATTATGCCTTCAACATTAACTTGATAATTTATTTACTTTTAACAAGGTGCCATCTCGATCACGTATAGTAATATCTTTATCCTATATAAACAGGAATGATGATATTTTGTTAGCATAATAAATTACATTGATTTTTTTTTTTAAGTCAAAAGTTTTAAAACATCATTAAGCGAACACATGAATGGTATACCTCGCCAATGTTCTTAAATCTAAATTTAAATCTTATATTTGTAATTTCGGGATCTTTTCTAATGACAGTAGTGGTCTGTAATTGTTGCTGTGTTTTTCCTTCTAATGTAAAGGGTTTAATTAGTTCTTTTCGTAGTTCTTGTTCTTGCAATGATGCTATGGGTTGACGATTTAATAACTTTGCCGCGTCCTATATATGATAATTTTCTACTTTAGCGACAAGAAAATGAAATTCTTAAGTAAAAAAAATGGGTTTAATTACCTCCGGTGTAAACTTATCACCTTCATCCACAAGGCAAAATTTTGGCTTGCCAACCTTTGGTAACATATCTGTTAATGGTTCTTGACGATGTGATCGTGCACCCATCATTTTTTCCATATTTAGAGCAAAATTTTTTTGAATTGGTACACCCTTTAATATTATTTTTTATAAGAAATAAGCATAATTATGAAAATATGTACAAAAGAAAATCTTTGCAAAAATCTTGAATTATGGCAATTGACTCAGTGCGTTTTTATTAATAACCATACATTTTGTCTTCAAGACTAATCGTTTAAGCATCATAGCCATTCTATATTTTCAAAACATTTGGCCAATTCGAATAACTATATAATCATAGTTATTCTATATTTTCAAAATAATTGACAAATTTCAATAATAATTTTCAAATCCTATAACTATAAATGTGATTTACCTGTTGAATCATGTCCTTCTCCAATTTCTTTAACTTTAGTATAGCCTCGACACGTTTAATTGAAATTCCATAAAATGTTCCGAGTTCTCTCACGGATTGTCCTGTTTCTATAAACTTTTTCCAGATTTCCTCTCTTGCTGAATCAGTCAAAGGAGGTTGAGGTTTATATTGTGGGTTCATTGGGAATGGCTACTATCAATCCGATAAAAAAAAACAAAGTCGAAATATTGACATAACGATAAATGATTGCTTTAATTTCAATATAAATTCACATTTCTCTTAAAAAAGATACTTACACAATGAGGCTGAATATAATTCGTTTGACCTAATAATGGCTTTTCAAACCTTTTCCCCTCGCCCGCCAAGAATGCTCTAAAATATGGATGTTTGACTTTACGTTTTAATGAATTCATTGCGTTTTTTCTTTTGGAAGATAAGATTTATCAAATCTATGTGTGGGAGAATTTATTGGCTGATTGCCAATAATTCTGATTGGCTAAACTGTAGATTAATTTTTCAAGCCTATTTAGGCATTATTTGCGGTGTTGCATTAAAATTTATGAATTCTGCGTTATATAGTTATAAAATTCCTCGTATATCAAATTTAAAGCTCTGCAACCAATTGCTTGTTTTTTGGATTACTTTTGCGACAATTTTATACTAAAATTCTAGTATTATTTATGTAAAGATTTTATATAGTTAACACATTTTTTTAAGATATCTCTAAGCTGATTTGGATGATTTCTAGATGTGTCTCAACAAGCTTTACAAATTCCTCTTAAGTTAGAAGAGCAATTAACTTAGCATGAAAAAATTTTTTAGATATATATGTCGTGCGTCAGATTAAAACTTCAATCAGGATTAGGGTTAGGGTAAAATTATGGTAAAGTTAAAGAGATTTTTTAGGCCAATTATTGCCGATCATTTAATGTTGGTCAACTGATTGCAGGTTTTTATAAGTAATCTGTGTCACATTGAGGTTTTAAATGCACGAAAAACATTGGCCTGCACTAGTATTTTATGACTGGATGCCAGCTACTTAAGAAGCTGGAAATGTATTTATTTTATTAGGTAAGCAGTACAAGAGTATGGAGATAATACAGTTTATACATTTATAGGTACTAAAACAGTGATTTTCCCAAAAGAGCTATTGCGCTGAGAGTCACTATGATTATCAGCCAGTGGTTTCCCGCCTGCCGAAGCAGGCCGGCTGTAAAATGGCAGCTGCCCAAGAGTTGGTTTGCTGGTTCTGACATTTTGTTTTGAGCACTGCATTTGACAAGAATGCATTGCTCTTGTTCATGGTATCTTTCTTATAGGATGTGCAATGGGCCGGGTTGGACCGGGTTTGCCTGTGCCCGAACCCAACCCGTTAAATCATGAGCCCAGCCTGGGCCCGGCCCAATTCATTATAGGACTAAAAATCTAGGCCCGGAAGCTCAACCCGTTTTTACAAGCCCAGCCCAAGCCCGGTCCAATTAACTTATGGGCCTAAAAATCCAGGCCCAGGCCCAGCCCAAACCCGGCCCAACCCGCAAATTATCGGGTTTGGCCCGGCCCATTGCACACCCTACTTTCTTATCCTCTCCCTTCTCTCTTTTTTTTTTGTCTTTTTTTTTTTTTTTTTTACATTGTTGTTCATCTAAATATAATTGTTGCTTTATTCCCTTAATTATTATTATTGTTCCCATTATGTGTATGTATAAGGGCACTGACATTAATTACGTAATTTTTTAGGGGGTGGGGGTTGAAGTAGAGCAGTTTTATAAGACTGCTCTACTTATATTATACTGCTACCTACTTATAATTATACTGCTATCTGTTTATCATTATACTACTACCTACTTATGATTATACTGCTACCTATTTATATGTTTTTGATGCTTTGTGGCTTTTTAGAGTTTGAGTTAGTTAGTTTTTGATATCGGTCTTGTGTGTTGGTTTGGAAGTCAAGTTGGTTGATTTTTAATATCAGGCTTGCGGGTTGGTTTGGGGTCGGCTTGGTTACCTTCTTGGTGTTGAGATTACCTTCATGCCCTGTGCCTGTTTGGATGCTATATTGGTTATCTTGACGAAGCCTTGGGTATCTGTTTGGGGGTCGTCTTGATTATCTTATTTGTAAAGCCTTGAGTGCTGGTTTGGAGGCTATCTTGGTTGCCCGAAATAGTATAAAAAAGGCGACTAGTGGCACAGTAAATTTGTAGTGAAATTTCGTTTAATTTTAGCTGACACTATGCTATAATTCTGGCTGATATTTGGGCATATGATTTTAGGTTCCAGCTTAGCACTATGATAGTGCCGTGTCAGTGTCATAAAGCTAGAAGAGAACTAGTGGGTAACTAGTAGAGGAACTGAAGAGATTCTATTAGTTTGCCAGTTCCTGTTCGCTCTTATGCCAGCTTGGTTGCCAAATTATTCTGACCTGCATAGTCTCTTTAGGTGCGATATCTTGCGGACTCTTCTGTGTCTATTTTGTTGCCTGTCAAATACAAAAAAAATATCGCATCAGATGGTGCAGTAAATTCATGGTTAATTTTGGCTAGCTCTATGGTATAATTCTGGCTGATCTTTAGGACACGTAATTTGAGGATCCAACTTGGCGCCATAATAGTGACCTAATAGTGTTTAGAACTATCATGACACTGGCAGGAAACTGGTAGGGAACCAGAAAGGTTCTATTAGTTTGCCAGTTTCAGATCACTTCTTGGTTAACAAGTAATTGTAGTGGGATATTATATAATGATATCCCACTCTCTTCTTTACCTGTTTGGATGCCTAGTTCTATATTAAGAATACGAGTTGTCTATTACCTTTTTTGATTCCAAGTTTTATACCATAGTTACTGCATCTCTGCACTTGTTTGGGTGCCAAATTCTATATCGAGGTGTTTACCTTTTTGCATCTGTTTGGTTGCCTCCATTGAAGCTAACTTAGCCTGCTTTTTTCGATAGTACTGTTCTCTTTTACAGTGCTTTCTAGCATGTAGATTGCAAAATCCATATTCGGAATAAGTTTGTTTACCGCATTCAATGTAAGGTATATATGAGGGAGCTGCTTATGATTATACCACTACCTATTTATATGTTTTTAATGCTCTGCGGCCTTTTGATTGCCAGGATGAGGTGATCCACTCAAGTGCAACTTTTTTTTTTTTCTTTCCTATATATAATTCTGCTTGAGTGGGTCACCAAAAATTCGTACATTTCAGGTTTTAGACTTTGTTCCTGCATAATTACTACTTCTGTACTTCGAAATATTATACTAATTGCTTTGAAGTATTATTTAGTATATTTATTGCATACTCATGCTAGTATTCAGATTAGAGGCCAAATAAAGCTTTACGCATTTTTATTTCATTTCCAAATTATACATATTACATTTTTTATTTTGAAGATTTGGGAATTTTTATATAAATTTATATTAGTTTCTTCCATATACTATCATGTTGCCTGTATAAAAAAAATCTGGGCCTGATTCCAGCGAAATAAATGAAGCAATTAGGCTCTTCTCAGGGTTAGCAGACCTTGACTATAAGCCTGGCTATCATGATCATATGTATTTCTAATATTTGTTTATTAGTAAAGATGATATCGCTCTTCTAGATGCCTATCATCCCAAGGAGATTTATTCAAAATATATAATTCGAGTATCAGGAAAGGGTTTTATAGTTGTTGATCATCCATCTGAAGTTTATAGGATACCCGATGCTCATGAATGCATCGATAGGAGTCTGCCTCTTCGCCTAGTTCTGGACATCGACGCGAGACAAAAACCTAATCCCATGAATCCCAAACACCCTTCCTTAGATAAATATAAAATTTCTCATGAAGATTTATTATCCAGAATCTTAATTGCCTATGCTAATATTATATACTTCGATTTAAAACATCTTATAACTTTAAATGCTTTTACCTTAGCTAGTTCGTCTAATGCTAATAAGTGCAGTTGGCATATTGTATATAATTATGCACATTTTGTTGACTACAGAGATCTTAGAGGATTTGTGGAAAAAGTTGCTGAGAGAGTTGGAAAACCATATTCAAAATTCATTGACATAGATCTTTATAAATCTCGCTTCAGCCTTTGTCTTCTTGGGTCAGCAAAGGAAGACAGAGTTAAAAGACCTGCTATTTCTTCAGTTAAGAAAGGGTACTACGAGCTAGAGGATTATTTAGTTCAACCTAAATCTGATTCTTCTGAAATCTGGCCTTAAACCTTTTCTTCTGAGAAGCTAGAAAGAGAGGAGAAATTCTAGCCTATCGAAGATGAAACTGCCTTAAGAAAAAGAGCTAGTCTAGTTATGGTAAAATATGGATGGCTTGAGATCAGAAAAATTGGGAAGGAATTTGTCAACTTTCAAGCTCGGTCATTGGAAGCATGTCCTATTTGTAAAATCAAACATGAGAAGGATTAATTATATGGCTTTCTTCGAAGCAATAGGCACTTTGTACTTAGGTGTTATCGGCAGAAACAATATAAGCTAGACCATAAAGAATTGGTATTTGAGGAAACATCAGGTATAATTAAGCCGAAAGATAGACCTATACAAAAAATTGTTGATAGAGTAGCCAATATCATAGCAAAACCACACCCTCTTGTAGAGTTGCCAGGAAAAGTTATTAATATTAAAAGGCTGAAAGATGCACCTGAATCATATCCCGATTTCTTAAGTACTGAAAGAACAACCACACTAATTTACTCATCTCCAGCAACATGGAAAACTACTACATTAAGGGAAATTATTATGGCACTAAAGAATAAGGTATATGATGTCTCTTATTTGCTATGCTATATCTGGATCTCTTATCGAAAATCTCTTAGCAATGAATCGAAAACAAAGCTTGATGAACTGAAAGCATCTGGTTTTCGAATTTGCAGTTACCAAAATATGCAAAGAGACTTATCTATAAATGAGTGGGATATTATTATAGTACAGGTTGAGAGTCTTTCCCGTATCGAGTTCACAGCCTATCCATTTGTGGCTATTCTTGATGAAGCCAATGCTATTATGCATCAAATGTCTAGTGGTACAAATGCACGGGAATCTGAGAATGCAATGCGTGATGTTTTAAGATCTGTGAGACATGTATTGGCAATGGATGCCTTTGCAAACATCTCAATGCTAGCTTTTCTAAAGGCATATCGCGGTGAAGATATTCGTATAATTGATAACAGATACCAGCCTCATGTGGGTGAGACAGTTAAAATTCTTTATGACCCAAATAGTGGAGCTGAAGCCATGCGAATAGGATGTGAGCTTTTGAAGCAGGGGAAACGTGTGGCATTTGTATCTACAGGAGCAGTTATGGCTAGAGCATTAGTAGAAAAGGCATCAAAGCTAATAAAGCCTGATAATTTGCCCATCAGAGCTCGTGCTTATTATGGAGATATGGATGGGAAACAATGACAAAAA